TTTAAAATCTGTTCTACTGTTGCAGTGGATAGAGTCTCCCCTTTCCACTCACAATGTTTACAATACTAATCTAAAAAATACTTCAAACAAACCTGAAAAGTGTAAGAAATATTTCGTGCAATGCATGCTTCATTATCTCCAGATCAAAAGTATAAATGTGACCAGTTTGATTCTTGTTATATTGATATAAACAGATCTGATGCATAAAACACAAATATGATATTATCTTCATGAAATTCAAACAGACATTTGAGCAGTAAGAGAAAGATTCATTTTAGCTGCGATATGTTTTTCAAGTGCAATGTTTACAATATTAAGTGAAGTGAAATTAAAGCAGTGTTGACACTAACCGCCTGATTTCGGGCGATCTCTTTTGGATTTCGATACAGCTGGATTTTTGCTCATGACTGATGTTTACTTGTTTTACCAGATATTATCTTCTTAAGTGTTGTGTATTCTGTGTAACTTGGTCGGTGCCCGATCAATGTCTGTCCGCCATATTGTTTCTTGGCAACAACTAATCTTTCATTTTTTTGTAGATCGAGCCCGATGTGAAATACTACAACGTTCAAAGTCTTACCCGACCCCCCTGAGCTACCAGATTTGTGAGAATGAGACCCACATGAGCTGGAACCCCGCGACCTTTGACCTCCAGAGTCTTCCATTTTAAACTCCTCAGATACAGCTGATAATGTATTTTTAGACACAAGTTTAATAAATAAAAGATATGCATTTTGATAATTATTTTGGATTTACTATTCAACTTGTTCAAAATATGTGATTTTTGCCCAATAATTAAATAAATTTTGTAGGAACTATTTCATAAAATCAATTTTACAGACATCGAATTGTCTATTGCATACACCAATACGGACCAAGGACTTTGAGAAGAATTCTTGAAAAGGGGTGTGTGAAGGTGGGTGGAGAGGGGAAAAAAGTTAATTTTATGCTCATGAGTAATCAATTATTCATCTCTAATTTGCTGATTTTTAAAGCATGTAAGAAATTTTATCTGCAGAATAAATAAATATCTAATAAATAAAAGGTAAAAATAAATTAGATTAAAAAAAAAATACGCACTACTAAGAACAGCCCCCATCTTGACTCGGGCAATGGCGGACATCCCTCGGTTACTTTTCCCCGACATTTTTATCTGTAACGTAAAAATGAATTGAAGTTAGACAGTTCTTAATTCTCATACTTTTTGGCATCGTCGCAAACCACGGCCAAATGAACGATCCTCTCCTATTCTGGAGAAAGAGAGCTATGTCGGACTCCGGACCGAGGCTTGAGACGATGACTTTTGGGGGCTTTCATTTAAATGATATGAAAAAAAAATAATAAAAATAAATTAAAAAACATTGGAGGAATGCAAAACCATTTACTTGATTACCTCGGATACAAATACATTATGGGTTCTTAACTTCTACTGACAGAACCATTATCAATCTAACAAATATATCCCTATTAATATGCATGAAAAATTAAATTAAAATTAAAAATGACTTACTTACTAAGTTTAGATCTGATTCATTTTTTTTCTTTATAAGAAAAAAGTAATTAAAAAGTATTTGCATGAAAAATTTTGTGTGGTAGCAAAGCCATCATGAATAAAAACAAAACTTTCAAAAATGAACATAAAAAAGTTTTAAAGGAAATTATTTTAAAGTGCATAATAAATTTAAGATGGTTTTTCAAGTACTTTTATTTTGTTTATGGCTTAATAATGTTATAGATAAAGAACAAATACAGGTTATTTTTAGAAATTGAAGAAAAGGTCAATATATGTCTCCTGGTCATAAATTCACAGACTACTAGTATTTGAAAGAGAAAGCTAAAGGCACATACATGTATATAATTTTGCTTATATCCTAACGAAAAAGAAATACCTAAATGGATAGTTATGAGAATCATAAAACAGTGAAAAATATACATGTAATACATAATAACCCTGAATAAAAAACCATCGAGTACTTGCCTCTTTAACGTAGATGGGCCGTTCATAAAACCTAATTCCTTATGGAATTTAACATTATTGGTCATTAAAGACCAGATGCTTGGATTAAACAGTGAAGTATTTGTTTTACACCAGGCAGTTTATTGACAATCAAATCGATGGCACCACTTTTCTTTCGACATGTAAAACACCCTAAGTGCATTTACTGGGGTTTTAAATACAGCTCCTTGAATTAATGATTATTTTTGTGGCGGATCCAAGGTTTTTGTCCTTCAAACGGTTCAGTCACGCAATAGCAAGATTGTGTTTTGTAAATAATTTATACTGCTGAATTTTTTTGTGCGACGTTTTTGGCTTTTGACATCAGGGAACTAAGTTGTAATTACAGGATTTATCAAAAGAAGTGGCGTTTCTAATTATACAGGGTTTATCAAAAGAAGAGGCAGATCCAATTGAACAGTATTGAATATTTATATTGATTGACAGACGAGGTTTGTTGACCTTTCTAAGGTTTGAATTGGGAAGCAGAATCGAAATCAAACAAACGTTTGCTTGTATCTACAGTTTATGGCTGTTGACATTTTGCTGCTAAGCTTGTAAGTCAACAATATTTGATTATGAGAAATGACAATCGTGTCGAGACATCTCTCTTCTTGAATAAAAGGTGTAAGTATAGGTTGCACAATGTTAATTAAAAGTAATTCATTTCATATATATAGTTTCTTGCAGAGAGAGAGAGAGAGAGAGAGAGAGAGAGAGAGAGAGAGAGAGAGAGAGAGATTGTAAATATGCATACCGTAATATGAAACAAATAATACAAGAAATTAAAGTCATCAAACTTTTAAAAAAAATCATTGAAATAGATGGATCTTTGTTCGTCTAAATAAGATGAATAAGTTAAGCGACATATAGTTTAATATTTTTTCAGAACATTTCAGTAATGTTTGATAAAAGTGATTAAAAATTAAAGATTTATAAGGGAAGTGGCGTAAAGTGAGAGTTTTCAACATCTTATAAAATTTACACTTTCTTACCATTTTATGAAATATCAAAATCTGAAGAAAGAGAATATTAATTTTACGCGCTTCACTTTTCAATGTAGTACTAATAGATATTAAAATATTGAGGGGAAAAATAAGCTCTTAATCTTTCACTACAATTAAGGCCCGTAAATGTTTCATGTACTAGATAGAAGAGTTATCTTTCTTACACTGTGATGTAAATTAGCTGGCGTTAACGTTCATTTATTATAAAAAATATCAGCCGAAGTGTACCACTTGCTATATAAACAAGAGACAACGTGTGCCACACTGCTCACCCGAGTCACCATTTTCTTCCTGCCCATAGAAAATTGAAAACCTTTAAATTATGGTGGTCACAAACTTCAACAACTTTAGGGATTGTTGATGCTAATTACTAGTAATTGATGAAAAAAATCCTTCCAATTTGTTCCCACTGGCGGATTTAGGTAGGAGAGGCGGGGGTGGGGGGGGGGGGTGGAGTGGGGGTGGGGTTGCAGTCTCCCCATTTTGTGACCAAAATTATACTTGTACATATCAAGATTAAGAAATCGGTGGTTGCAATTTTAATAGCTCCCCATACCCTTGTCCCCTTCCCCTCTCTTCCCAAGAATCCTGAGTACATATATCCGCGCGCCACTGCAAGGTTCCTGTGGTTTATACATTTCTACTTGATCCCCTTTGTGGCCCTGTCCTTGGCCAATTGGTAAAAAAAAATTCTTCACATATTCTATACAAAGAAACTTTTAGCTTCATTGCTACTCTAATAAGAGAGATAATTTTCACTGGGATAAATGACTATTATTTCCTTACAAAATTTCAATTTAACAGGCCATTTCTGTCAAATTTTCCTCTGCTATAGGTATGCTGAATTTTTGTGCTTTTTAAAATTTCTTTTCGAAAATCATTCAGCATTCAGAATAGATTTTATATGAGTAAGCAGATTGAGGGTTGACGTTGACTTATCATAGTTAAGCTGTTGTCGTATTACCAAAAAAAAAAAAAAGTTTTAACACTTTTTCCTTTATATTCATGCACACCAATCATATAAAACTCTGGCCCCCTATTGTGGTTTCATCCTAGACACAGGTGCCGTACTTTAACATACTCTCCATGCTGTGTTTGCACATCATTCTACTGCTGTTTTTGAGAAGATTTTTCGTTTACTCTCGTTCCCATATAAAACTTTGACCACTTAATTATTTTGTCTCCAGCCTAGCCCCATTGAACAATAGTTCAATCTTCACTATATATGAACATACTTCTATGACTTTTTCTGGCTCTAGATCTGTTATTCTTCTTAGATTTTTTCAAAGGTTTCCCATATTTATTACTTTGCAAAACTTCGATATTTTATTGTTGCCCCCAAAACTAAAGATATTTGAATTATTATAAGAACAGAAATTGAAACAAAACTACAAATCGGTGTGACTATCGGTGTGCTTCTGCTTTTTTGAAAAGACAATTCTTAAAGAATTTTCTTACAAGTTCCATGTAAAATTTATTTATAATTTTATCTCCCCTTATCCCATGTCAAGAAGCACACAGCGGATGTGACCGGTCGGCAGAGGATGCTCACTCCTCCATGGCACCTGATCCCACCTCTAAATTTTGAGGTCCGTGTTTGCTCTGCTCTAAATTCGTATCGTTTCATTGGACGTTCGAGATTGAATACTGTTCGTTATCTTCATATTTCATAAAACTGACTACGGTTTGAACAAAACCAATCATACAATACAAGGAGATGCCTGTATATTGAGATTTCTATTCTTGAGATTAATATTTTGTTTGTTTACTTCATATATTTCTATTCATAATTTTGACCCACATTTATGCCCCCCCCCCCCCCACCCCTTCAGACTCTGTTCAACGACAGCACATTGGTGATGGGATATGTAATTCATTATTACCTCTTTCATTAATTAAAACTCTCAATGTTGTACACATTGACGACTGAACATTAAAAAATAGTGCGAGTTTTATTATTTTTATTAAAAAAAATGCAACATCAAAATCAGAAGGTACTTTTTTTAGGTACATATATTTAAATAAAATACAAATCTTCAAATGTCATAGTCACATCACTGTGGGGTTTTGTTGAATCTGAAAAAAAAACAACAAAGGAACGCATGAATTTTCTTAAAATGCAATAGTCAATGTCAGCATCATATAGGACTTTAAATTTGCATATCAAAATAATATAGCATCTGAAAAATATATGTTAGACTAGTATAATATATATATACACTTGAAGACAACATCATGGAATAGCTATTCCAAAGCAAGAGACCAATTTGTGACAGTGCTCTGCTTAGTAACCCTGACTCTACTGTTCTTCAGAATAAGATTTTTAAATGATTGTTTTTTTTTTTCATTTTCATTACCATGAAAAATTTTGACCACCCATTGTGACCCACCTTTGCTCCATGGAGTCATGAATTATACAACCGAATTGAATCCATATAGAATGGGGTGCTTCAATATATATAAATATGTCTATCATGACCTTTTGATTTGAATTTTTTCACAACATGAATACTGTATACAAGGTTTTCGGCCTTAAACGATTTCGCCCCGTTGTTTTTCCACTCATATACAATTGTGCTACTGAGATAACTTTGTTTTCTTTGAATTTGCCTTGTTTTAAATTTGCACACTTGCGACGAGGGCGACAATAAAACGGTGGCCAAAATTTCCTGTATGTTACATATCTCCTATTTAAGAAAACAAAATTTTTATCATTTTCCCTTACTTCTTCCCATGTAAGACTTTCCTTTTCACAGGTGCACATAACTCCAAAAAAGCCCTTTCTGATATTTTTTCATCTGATGTTTTCAGGAGAAAAAATGGAGATGGTGCTCCCTACCTGTGAGGACCATGATTTGACGAAATTTGAATTTACTGTCATTAATAAAGCTTTCACTTTAGTGAAATTTCTCTTTTCTCTTTTCTGGTCCAATGGTTTAGAGAAGAGAAGTTTCAAAAGATTCCAGCACAATTTAAGTTTTTCATAATTATCCTCTTTGAAAGGGCGAGGTCCTTTATTTGAACAAATTGGAAATCCCATCTCCACAAAGAGATTTGATTGTAATTAAGTTTGATTGAAATCAGCCCAGTGGTTCTGGAGTAGTCAAAAATTCTAAAAACTTGAAACTTTTTAAAGCACAATAAAATCCAAACCTTTAAATTGATACTGGTATGTTAGAAATTATCATGTTGATATTAAACATACGTAGTACAAGGTCCATCTAGAACAATGATGTCATCTATAGCAATATCACCATGGTAACTAGTGCCCTCTGTGACCTCTAGCAGAACCTGGTGACGTTTCAATGACGTAGGAATTTCGACAATGGCTCTTTGCCAGCTATTCCCTTGATCTCCAGATTTTGTCCAAATCGTGGTGTTAGAACTTCCTTGCTGTGAAATGAAATTACAAATATTAGAATAAAATCAAAAATGCATTCATTCTACAAATTAAAATTTATACAAAATTAACCATTGTTTAGATCACCATGTTCTCAATATGCGTCTCACCAGAATGACACTCAATGACGCTGTATCTCTGCCAAACATGTGGTACCAGAACGTCAAACACTGTGGCTGGGTATTGAAAAAATCCGAGGATACCAGAACGGCCTTGTCTCCTTTTTGTTGGTCAGATGACTCCATGAACAGGTAGTGTCCACCAGGGGCTGGTAATTACATGGAATTTTCTAGCTTTAGGTACATGTTTAAGCACAAGATTTACAAATATTTTTTAAACCCTATTTTGAGAAAGCACCATTTTGTCATTTTCATCATTCGTACTTGTGTTCCAATTGCTTAGATAGATCTAGATAACATGGAATAATATCATTACGTCAAGACTTACTTCCACCTATCGTGTGGTCAGAAGTGGGACCCGTCACTGCTGTTATGGTGGATCCTTGATGACGTAACAAATCAAAGTTATCTCCCTTGCTCTGTGTCCAGGTACAGAGGTCTTTCTCAAAATCACAGTCATGACGGTCGACGCCTGTAAAAAATTTCAAGTAATGTAGAAGAGAAGGGCCCCAGCTAACAGAAAAGAAATTATAAGCATTCTTTTTATTATGGCGATTTGTCATAGAAGATGAATATTAAAATGGGAAAAGGGCAAAAATGCCATACGAGGAAAATTGAGACTAATCACTTTTGAAGGTGAATTTAAAAAAAAAGGACTCAATAATTTTAAAGTTATGTTTGCATAGGGTCACTCCACCTTAATATTTACAATGCTGAAAAAAACTTCAGCAACAAACAGAAAGTAAAACAAAACAAAAACCGTAAATAAACCCTTTCATTTCGTATTTACTAGTATTACATGTAGATACCGGTATTCAAAGAATTCATCTTCCTCACCTGTTGGTGTCTTAATTTCGAAGTTTCTCTGTACTGTTACAATTCTGCCATTGGAATCTAATACCTGCGCATTGCACCTAAATGTCAATATACAAATTTTTATTGATGATTGGGAAAACTGTAATAACGTGAAAAAGCACACTTCGAGTTCCAAAGAATTCTAACTTGTATATCCCAACGTCCCCTGGATACACTTCCGGTATCATGAGATCGTTTCCATTTTTGACCATTCTCACCGGAACTTGTGACGACCCTTCCTTCGACCATGTAACATTAACCAAAGTTCCATTGCCTATTGGACATGCCATCATGACTCTGTCTAGAATTCTGCTCTGAATAAGGTGGTTCCTTTGTTTTGGAGCTGTAAAACGCCAACATGTATTCTTTCTTTGAAGTCAATAAAGGGCGTATCGGGCCTTATACATATACAGATATATAAGCAGATACAGACCTTTACATAGACACTTTGGATCAAGATCTTTCCCTGGAGTTCCTTTAAGGCCATTGTCACCTTTATCACCCGGAAGTCCTTGGAATCCTACATAGTAAGTAAAATTATGCTAAGTATACACATAACACATTATTATCATACGATCATATAATTATATATCTTTAACTAGAAAAAAAAAAACTTTTCAGTTAATTCGCTTTGATATGGAAGCCGATATGTGCCAGGCAGAAATAATATTTTATCTGGCGGCCACCAGAAATTAATTGGCGGCACCAGAAACTTATCTGGTGGCTGCAATATATTTTCAGGCGGCCTCCAAATAAATAGATCTGGCGACTGCCACATAAATAACTGGCGGCCGCCATCAACTAATCTGGTTACCGCCACATTACTATATGGCGACCGCCACATAATTTCTGGAGGCAGCAAGATCATTATCGGACGGTCGCCATATGATTATATGGCGCTCGTCAGATATGATATGGTGGCCAGCAGATAAGTTTCATTTATTTATGTGGTGGCCACCAGATCTATTTATTTGGCGGCCGCCAGATAAGTTTCTGGCGGCCACCATTTATTTATGTGGCGGCCGCCAGATAAATTTTTTTTCTACCTGGCACTTACCGGCTTCCGTACTTCGAAGATGTAATTCAGCTAGCATAATGAATCCAAAAGATTAGCTGAATATATCATTTGATAAGTAAAAACAAGTCTACAGGGAACCTTTAGGTCCAATATCGCCCTTCTCTCCTGATCTTCCTGGGTCACCCTGATCACCCGGAGGTCCAGATGGTCCCACATCACCCTTTTCACCAGAAACACCTGGATCTCCAATGGAGCCCTTATCTCCTATATCACCTTTGTTTCCTTTTGGTCCCTTAAATAAAAATAAAAGATGAAACAAAACGTCATTACATAAAATACATCAATTTAATATATTTAAATTTTAAAAAAAATCAAAGCTTAAACTTTCATGTTTTTCAGTTTTTCATTTTTTCCAAAAAACATTTAGGTTTTTGTACCTTTAATCCACTATCACCCTTTTCGCCGAGTTCTCCAATACTTCCCCTTGGGCCTTTGACTCCTTTTTCGCCTTTCATTCCGGAATCTCCTTTCCGTCCAGACATACCTGGAGGGGCTCTTTGTGGTTGAAGTCCAGGATCCCCCTTCTCCCCCGGGGCACCTAATTTTCATTTTGATTTTCTTATCATAAAATAATGTCATATAAACAAAAATTACATTCTCTACACGTATAATATTAGATAAATAATGAAAAATGAATAAATAAGGAAGTAGTAAACAAATACGAGCGAATTGTTATCGTCATCTGAAATAATGAAATGAAGTGAAAAATTGTATTTTTCATTTAGCATACCGGATAAATAAAAATCGCACAGTTCTTGAACAATTTCTGTATTCTCACCTTTTAAACCAGAGACTCCAATTTCTCCATTTGCACCTGAAATTTATTTATTTTTTTCTTATGAGGAAGGTAAAATTATAGACGGGTACTTCTATAGCTTAATATTATACATATTGTAAATATAGATATACACATACCGTGCACACATAGCCTTGTGTTATTGATGCAATGTTGCTCCAGAACCATTTCCTATAAAAGAATATATTAGACAATGTAATAAACATACGCACATTAAGTTAAAAAAATATTTTCAATTTCTGGTTATATGTTTTAACAGTTTGTGCCTCTTTGAAATAAATAATTACCATAGTACCTGAGCCTTAAGGAGGTCTGCCATCATCATTTCTAGGGGAGACAACTGTCTCTTTTTGGGTTTGATGTGTACATCCTCTTTGGTAGGGTATAAACCATGGAGATCGTTGATTTGATCCTTTTCAAAAAATAAATCAAATAAATAGATGAAAACACAGTTCAGCTTAAAACAGCACGTAAATTTGGCATGCAAATAAATGAATGAATAAATAAGTAAATAAATTAAATAAATAAGTAAATAAATACCAGGTAATGAAATTAAATAAATAAATAAATACTAGTTAATGAAATTAAATAAATAAATACTTAATAATCAAATTAATTCAATAGATACAAAAATAAATAAATAAATAAGTACCGTAAGTCTGGAAATTTTTACGTAGATTTATTTTTGCGAATCTTGGTCAAAAAGCTGTTGATTAATTTTTACGTTTCAAAATTTTGCGAATTAACATTGGTGCTTAAATTAAAAAGCGCTTAAAATTTTCATAGCAGTTTACAAGTTACCCATGAACTACATACAGTAAATAACGCATGTACATACAATATTAAACGATGCCAACATTCAATAATCGAATTTTCAATTACGCATGTACTTACAATAAATGACATGTACATACAATACTAAACAATGTCAATGTTCAATAATCAGATAAAAATATTAGAATTAAAGAGCTAAAACATCTAAACTATTTAAAGTTTTCATAACATTTTAATAAATCACGCATGTACGTAAGATATATAAAACGATGTCAGCTTTAACTAACCTTAAGATAAAACATTTGTTCTTAGATAAAACAACTGGCCTCTTTCTTAGAGAAATAATTTAAAAGGGACATACTGCCTTTAATTCAAACCATCGGATGATGTTGAATGTAGTGAAGAGATTATCACGGTTAATTAGCATGTAGTATAAACAGGTTTTAAAATGACCACTGCTTACGAACACCTGTTCATCTTGTTAAACATACCATTTTTTTTGTTTTCATTTTTTTTGTTGTTGATTTATTTTTAAGAAATATATTTTTGCGAATGCAATGCTCGCGCAAATTTGCTAAAAATTTATCTACAGCAAAAATTTCCAGATTTATGGTATTAGTTAATCACATTAATTAATAGAAAAATAGATAAATAAATATTCTATACAGACCAGACTCCATTCTTCATTATGTGTTTCACAGTTTTCTATCAGTAGATCCAGGACCTCAGACTCTTGCTGATATTCCAGATTGAGAGACTGTGACCGGAAGTAGATGTAGAGATTCAGAGACGTAAACAGTAAAGTGTGAACAAGTAGGGACAGTCCCGCTATTGTCTGGACAGTTGTCGCCATTTTGTTTCACTGCTGATAAGGCACATTTATTCCAAAGTATTTATATATTTCTTATCATAAGTTAGTTTGTTCTACTAGTCTCTCAAAGGGTTGACAAAATTGTATCAGGAAGCAAGCCATGGTGAAATGCATGCTTTGCTTGATATACATGTATTTATTTATAAAATATAAGAATAGTTTTTAAATTTCTTAATCTGACCCGTAACATTCAGCAAATATTCCCTACTGGGACTTGGGATTTAGCAACATTTGTCATTTTTGTCTTTTGGCGAAAAATGATCAAGAGGAAAATTCAGCTAGAGGGAAATACAACTTCTTTCTTCTGTCAACATCGCAATAATTATGCAGTACTTAAGGTCATACGAAACAATGTAAATGTCCTGAGCATGTTAAGTTATCTACAGAAATGAGTTCATCTGAGCTACTTTAATGAGTTTGGATTTTTTATGGAAGGCTAATCAAAATTCCTCCATCATGAAAATGAACTTCTATCCCCCTTATGGCATGTCAAACGTTGCAATATTCGATCTTTTGCATTTGCATTGTATAATTTTCCATTGCATTGTATGATTTTTATTTGTATTGTATAATTTTCTATTTGTATTGTATAATTTTTCATTTGTATTGTATAATTTTTATTTGTATTCTATAATTTTCTATTTGTATTGTATAATTTTCATTTGTATTGTATAATTTTTATTTGTATTGTATAATTTTCCATTTGCATTGTATAATTTCTTATTTGTATTGTAAAATTTCTTATTTGTATGCGATAATTTTTCATTTGTATTGTATCCGCGGACTGTTTATTTGTTTCGTTACGAAGGATTTCATTGGTCAAGTTTCAGCCTGTATCGGGTTGAAGATGTTCCGGATGCTCAACGCAAACTGGGCTCATATGTATTTTAGGGATGTCAACGAATATTCGAACATTCGAATATTCATTCGATGAGATAATATTCGAATATGAATTTAAGATTCGAATATTCGGTATTTTTCAGATTTCACAAAATTGAGACACTGAATTTTAGTTAGAACAGTGCTGGAATTATCCCCTTTATACTTAATATAGCGATCCCCCGATCTCTTTCACTACTTTCTTATCTTTAATATAGATATTCTAAATTATTTCATTTTGAGTAAGGTATAAAAGAAATAAATACAAATTATATATATATATATATATATTAAAAAGTACTTTCAATAGTGTAATATGATCGGATCTAGAATCGAGGTTAACGAAATGAAACCTTTCTTGAATGTCTAAGAGTGTAGTTATGAGAACAAATTTTATTGATCATCGAATTACATCTTTGATGTCAGTCTGTAATATTGTAAAGGGTTCAGTTTTAGAATAGTGCGTCAATTACTTGATAATTTCAGGTTGAATACATTCCTAAATTTTAAAAGCATTATCAGGAATTTAATGACCTAGGAAAATTGTCCATGGAAGTTTTTGTTTATATTTTGAATTTATTTTCAAATCATTATATCGAAGATTATATCTCTTATTAAGTAGATAATTGTAATTAATTATGTGTATTTAAATCTGAAGAGTAAACGACAAACTGGTTCGTCAGTTTGAGCTTGTATAGAAATCATTTGTTAAAATAATATTTCGGTTGTATACACTTAAATCAATTATTTATTTTAAACATTGACAAATATATGTAGAATTCCTTGCTGTATACCTACAAATTAAAGTCTACATCCAGTTTTACTTCCAAATACATGTACTGATGCAAAACCTGCCATGAGAGTATGATGAGTACATTTGAAATAAACCAGATTTTATTTATTTTATCGAATATTCGAATATATTCGAATACTTTCATTGAATATTCGAATATGAATTATTGACAAAATTGACATCCCTAATGTATTTGCTTGATTGATTGATTGATTATTGTTTAACGCCGAGTCGGCAATATTTCAGCCATATTTCGGTGGCATATGTATTTGTGTGCATGTTAGACGGTCATTGGATTCTAAAAAGGGAGCGCTGGTAGATGGCAAATAAATAATCTGTCCTTAGGAATGCTGACTGAGAAAATAAATAAATTGACCTTGAGTGGTGGTAACTACCCCCACCCCCCAAAAACTGAGTTTTCGGGTTTGGGCGGATTTTCTTCTTTTTGTTTTTCTCCTTGTCTCTGGTCATATTGGAAATAAATATTCTCTCCTGCGAGAGAATGAAAATAAATAATCGGATTCGACACCCCCCGAGAATCAAATGGTCGTCCCTTAGCATGCACCGCAAATAGAGGAGCCGAGTTTGTGTTTGTAGAGAGTGCGCGATCGGCATTGTGGGAAGGGTACCAGACTAAGTTTGTGATGGGCACCTGAGACCTTTATACAGACTAAATTTTATGACCAATGACATCCTTCGTAACGAAATAAATAAACAATCCTCGGATACAATACAAATGAAAAATTATCGCATACAAATAAGAAATTATACAATACAAATAAGAAATTATACAATGCAAATGGAAAATATTGAATACAAATGAAAAATTATACAATACAAATGATTTTTTTTACAACACAAATGGAAAATATAGAATACAAATAAACATTATACAATCCAAATGGAAAATTATAAAATCCAAATGGAAAATTATAGAATACAAATAAAAATTATACAATACAAATTGAAAATTATACAATACAAATGAAAAATTATACAATACAAATGAAAAATTATACAATACAAATAAAAATTATACAATACAAATGGAAAGTTATACAATACAAATGGAAAAGATCGAATATTGCAACGTTTGACATGCCATATTATGGGTTTGACATGCCATACCCCCTTTGCTGTTCAAAGCTGTGCAGTGTACTTACATGTATACAAACGATCATGTCATTCAACAGCGAAATATTATACAAATATAGCCCTATTATGAAGTCGATCCATAGATATATCGACTTCACAGAAAAGCATATTGACCCAGTACGAAGTTCTAGGTCGATATGCTTTTCTGTGAAGTCGATATATCCATGGAATTAACGGGTTACATTTGTTTTATTATATTTTACAGTGATTTACAAAAGCAAAAGAACATAAAAGAAACAAGTCAATTTTTTTTCTAGTACTTTTTTAACACATAGAGACTAAAGATAAAGCTGTTAAATGTAATTGTCCCCCGCTTTCGCGAAAGTGAGGGGACATTAAATCTCATTCGTCTGTCCGTCTGTCACAAAAACTTTAACATTGGTCATAACTTTTGAATGAGAAGAGAAAGGGCTTTCATATTTCACACGTAAATTACCTTTGAGGAGACCTTTTTAAATATGCTATGATTTTTGATCGAGTGACCTTGACCTTGAAGTTTGACCTACTTTTTAAAAATTTTAACATTACTTAAAATTGGTCATAACTTTTGAAAGAGAAAAGATAGGGATTTCATATTACACATGTGTATTACCTGTGAAAGACCTATCTAAGTACATGTACCCGGTATACTATGATTTTTGACCCTGTGATGTTGACCATAAAGTTCGACGTATTATTCAAAAATCTTATTTTTCCTTAAAACTTTTGATTGAGAAGAGATAGGGATTTCATATTTGACATGTGCATTACTTGTGAAAAGATGTTACCAAACATGCTATGTTTTTTTTTACCCCCTGATCTTGATCTTCATGTTTGAGCTAATTTTTAAAAAGATTAACTTTGGTGATTACTTTTGAATGGCATATAATAGGGCATGCATATTTGACACAATATTCCATAATTAATGGCATCTCACCCACTAAGACACCGAAAGGGGGGACCACAATTCTTTGAATTTACTTGTATTTCCTTTATACTGATAGAGTAATTTAGGGAATGTACAAAAGGCTACATTTGTTTTGTTACATTTTGTATCATTTTATGAAAAATGTATCTAACATTTTCATGCCCCCGAAATCGAAGATTCGGGGGCATATTATTTTTGCCCTATCCATCCGTCTGTCTGTCTAGCTGTCTGTCTGTTTGTTTGCAAAAACTTTAACCTCTCCATAACTTTTGATTGGTTAGAGCTATGGCTTTCATATTTTACATGTGTATTCTTTGTGACAAGACCTTTCCTTGGGTACCATTATATTTGACCTTTTGACCTTGATCTTGGAGTTTTACCTAGTTTTGCAAACTTTTACCCAACTTTAACCTTGGCCATACCTTTTGAATAATTGGTGCTAGGGCTTCCATACTTCACTTGTGTAATTCTTGTGACAAGCCCTTCCTTTGAATACCAACAACTTTAACCTTTTGACCTTGGCCTAGGAGTTTGACCTACTTTTGAAAACTTTAACCTTGGCCATTACGATTGAACGGTTGGTGGTAGGGCTTTCATACTTCACATATGTTATCCTTGTGACAAGGTGTTTTTTTTTATACCAACAACTTTGACCCTTTGACCTCGACCTTGAAGTATGACCTACTTTGAAAACTATAACCTTGGCAATAACGTTTGAGCAGTTGGTGCTAGGGCTTTCATATTTCATACTTCACATGTGTATTCCTTGTGACAAGACTTTCCTTTGGACACAAACAATTATATACCATTGACCTTGACCTTGGAGTTTGATTTACTTTTGGAATACTTTAACCTAACCTTGGCAATTACTTTTGAACAGTTGATGCTAGGGCTTTCATACTTCACATACGTAATCCTTGTAACATGACCTTACTTTGAATACCAACAACTTAAACCCTTTGTACTACTTTGGAAGAACTTTTACCTTTTCCATATCTTTTCAATGGTTGCTGATAGGGCTTTCATATTTCACAGGAATATTGCTCGAGATAAGACCTTACTTTGGGTACTTACATATTTGATTTGCATTTGAGGAAGTTTAGCCTTTGCTATAAGTTGCCATAAGGGGGCATCAGTGTTTCAAAAACACATCTTGTTAAATATAAATTAGATCCTTATTCAAGGCATTGTTACGTCTTATTAAGTATTACAGAACACCACAATTATAAATAGGAGTTTAGGCATATTTTTT